AAAAAGCCTCACAAAAATCTGCAGCTGGTAAAATATGACACCTCATATCTCCCTGTCTTTTTTAGGCAATAAGATCATTTGTAAATCTTCAAATAGTAGGATTCAATCTTGCCTTTCTCTTTTTTTAAATCTATTTTTGTATTCTTTTCTTTGTATGTCTTAGAAATGTTTTACATTTGCATGTGAATGCATTCTTCAATGGAATTGTACATCCCAGAGTACAGAGCTTATTTTCTCCTGAACTTTCATTGTTTAAATAATAGTAAATATTTTAATTATTGATTCTACCTTTCATGCTCAAATTCTGCAGTTTATTTCCCCAGGACACTTTCAAGCATTGTAAAGATTAAATATACAAAATCTAATATAAAATATGTAACATATTTGAAAAAATTAAATTTCATAAACAAAAATTGGTGTATAAAAGGATTTAAAATTCAAAGTCAAGAATATGCCTTGTAGGGCATATTACCCTTTCAAGTTTCAAGTGAAGTTCAGCGTTTTCACAGAACCCACCTTTGCCTATGATTGGGTCAGTCCCTCCAAATTATTAATATTAAGTAAATCTCCTATCAAGCAGAGCTAAATTCACATATATAAGCAAACCCACTGAAGTCAACAGAGATGAGAATAGAAATGCTTTTCCCTTAAAAAATTAACTGAAACAACACCCAAAAGAAACATCACTTTGTAAATAAAACATCGAGGCATTGATTTTCCCATTGGACTTGTGTGACACTTATTATGGTGAAAGTCATTGATTTACAGTAATATCTCTTTAACATGGCAAACTTTTTTCACACACATAGACACCAATCCATCTTTACACAATTGGTTCCACCTCTTTAGCAGGATGTATAATGAAGGACTCCAAAATTTAAAGTACCTGAATTTGAATTTGGGTTTTTATCTTCTGTTTTACTTAATCTTTACGTGCATGCATGTCTTCCCTAAAATAGCAGAGCAGATCATTCTGAGGAGTAGTCAGCAGATCAGATAAAGGATTAATTTTCTCCAGATCGTTGGAACAGAGCTGATGTTTTAAAAACATGTTTCTCTCTACTTGTGTGCTAGCATCAGTATCACAAACAGTAAGGAGGATGTTTACCTGGCTGCTAAGGACAATCTTTGTAAAAGTGTGTGACTTGTTCCTTCTTGAGTTGTAGAACATGCTTACTGTTACAGGTAAAGGGCAAATCAGTAGTGAACAGCACTTGGTTGAAACAAACCTTTTCATTTCAGCTTTTACTCTTCTCTGATGTGAACTCAGGAGTGATTTTGAGGACATAATGAACTTCAGGTGGTCTTGCACTATAAAACTCTGGCAGGCTAGACAGGAGACAGGTCGGATATGGCCCACTCACCCTGCTGCCCGTGGCAGGATGAGCATCACTGCTGACTGAAAACTGTTTGAAAGCTTGTAAGAAAGGTTAGATAATGATGGAGCTTTCATGGTGCCCCTGAGCAATCTGTTTCAGTCCTTAACTCTCCTAACCGTTAAGAAGTTTTTTCTAATGTCTAATTTAAATCTCCCTTACTGCAGTTTAATCTTGTTATATCTTGTATCCATGATGAATGTAGTGAATAATTGATTCCCTTCCTCTTTGCTGCTGCCTTCCGCGCATCTGAAAACTGTATCATTGCCTCATCTTTTCCTGCTAGAGAGTAAAAAAACACGCTTCCTTCAGTCTTTCTTTGTAGGCCCTGGTGTGTTTTAACCTGTGATCATTCTTGCTCTTTTCCTCTGGGCTCTTTCAATCTGGCTCATATCTCTGTTGAAATGGAATGTCCAACACTGAACATAGTATTGTAGCAGAGGCCTTACAAACACAAGGTATGGCAGAAGAACTCTTTCGCATGTCTCACAGGCAGCATTTCAAAGGACATAACACAGATTTCAAAACAAAGTAATGAATAAACAACTCAAAGCAACAGTAAGGGATTACTGACTTAGGTTCATTGATGTATCTTTCATTAAGAAAATACCATCCATTTTAGAAAACAGAACCTTAAAAAAAACCGTCATCATTTACTGTGGATTCTTTCTGCTAAAGAAGCAGAAGGAGAAAAGGTAAAGCGTATAATTGCAGAATCCAAGAGAGGACAAGGGAAGCAGGAGGCTTTGCATTTTTTGCTATGCAAGTCATTTACACTTTCCACAGCACAAGCTCACAGCTCCTTCAAAACTCCAAAGTTGTTTTAACATTTTAAGGAACCTTTTCGAGGGTAAGATTTGTATATGTCAGGATTTCTCCACGACACAAGAAAACCAAAAGAAAATGGCTATTGGCCAATAAAAATAAGTAATTTATCCATGTGCTTCCCCTATGCACACTACCAGTGCTTTTCAGATCCCTTCATATGCATGATTGTTCATTTTCTGATAGTTATCAGAAATAATACTGGTGTTCCAAGCCTTCTGTTGGACCATAAGTCAGATCTATTTTGTCAGCTACCAAAGAGCTCAAAGCTATTGCTAAAGCTTACTGTATGATCCCCATTAAGAACGGGCTCAGCAGCTCCAATCACTCAAATTAACCACATCGTTTTATTCATTAGAGATAAAGCAGAGGCAAGAGAATGAGAATAACCTCTGCTGAATAGTGTAGATCATTAATCACATCTTAATTAACTATTTTTTTAAGTAATTTTAGAATTGTATTTTTCTTAAGAGGGATAAAAGGTATTTTATGGACCCATTGCACTATCAGCCTTTAGAAGTGACTGGGGAATTTTAGAGAAGTGACTTTGGTCCCCTGGGTTCAGAAATGCGTTGACTTGAAGGGCTGACTGAGCTAGTAGCTGATAGAGGCTGAGGAGTTGTAGACTAGTCCAGTAGTGAGATTTCCAGTATTTCCTGATATTGATCCAACTCCATCAAGAAAAAAGGTTAAGTCTTTTTGGAGATTGCATTCACTTAACTAAATCAAATCTAGCTAGCTCAGTGCACATCACAGCAAGACAAGGTCCCTGGAAGGACACACAATTTGTGGGTAGCTCTGAGAGAAGTAACCTTCTTTTGAGATGTCTGTATTAATGAAGGCTACGTAGACTGTGAGAAAAGCATCTGAATATTCCTTCTCATGTGCTGTCTGCTCAACCTTCCTTTGGGCGAAAGGAAATCAAAATCTCTTTTTTTTCCTACTCAAAAATCTGACTCATTCCCAAAGAGCCAAATCCAAAGCAGGTGCAAACAAGGAAAACACAATCCATGCAGAAAGCACAAGCACACAAACGGGGGCCTTATTTCGCAGGGACTTCTGCCAGCACTAAAGATCTTCACCTCTCAATGTTTTGAACGTGTTCAAGTCCCAGAATGTGTCAGCTTTGACAGGCTTTGGAGTTCAGTGAACAGCCATGAAGACACTTACGCAGAGTCCAGACATTGACACCTAACTACTTGGAAAAGCCTTTATTTCAAAATGTGAATCCTTTGGAAGTGCCTTTGACTCCATGCAGAATGCAGTGGCGCGACAATTACTTTTAAGATTGGGATATAGAAGTAGCTGCATTTACTTGTTTTCTATCATTTTTTTAGCATCCACACAGAGTATAGGTGACCAAGGTCATTTCCTCCTTGACCAAGAGCTAGTCAAACTCAAGTCTTCCACTTCTAGAAGGTGTCCTAGTCACCCAGCTGTCCTCAAAAGACAGGAGAGAGGGAAGTTATTCATCATTCTAGTGAAGGTATGGTCCTTCCATTTTCCGTAAAGAAAACTGGGATTCAGGGTCTAGAAAACAGGTACATGACTCTAGCACAGCAGCTGGGGTTACTCACAAAAGAAAGATGGCAGTTTCATGTCAGATGTATACTCATTTCTAAATAGACTGCTGCCTTGGTCGTGAAAAACTTCAATATGATGAAGGACAGAGCTGACTCATTCTCCATGTCATAAGAGCCACCAGTTATGGCAGTCCCCCAGCCAACTTCAGCTTGAATAACCCACAGATAGGGAGGGTGCCTGACTCTAGCTCTACAAGACCCTGAGCTCTTCCCACTGGATTTCAAAGGGATAGGGTGGTGCTAAAACCCAGAAAACACAGCAGTGAGACCTTGTTCTGAGGTTTCCCTGTTGGTCAGCTTGAAGCACTCCTCGTTTGACGTGTCAGCAGTCATAAGCCTCATGACAAACATCCTAGCTTTCCTTGTATGTCTTGCAGGATTGCTCAGGACCTCAAACACAGAAATTAAGAACAGCGACTCAGTCCACAGGACTTGCACTCCTTGGGGTCCTTGGGGACCCTCACCTAAGTGTTTTGCTGTGTTACTTCCTCAACCTTTTAGCTATAAGGGCCATCACCAACCACCTTCAAGCACGCTCGCTCCATCAAGTGCGCAGTCACCTGCCATGACACCTACAGTGAATTTACCTCTGACCGCCTGCAAGAGAGCAGAGAAAGCAGGTCTGATCTTAACCGTGTGATTAGGAGATAGTTGAGAGGTGAAGCCATCAGGCCAGGCTTCTCTCCTACCCCTCCTTTTGTCTGTCGCTGTCCTGTGTAAACTCCCCCCCCCCAGTGTATCTGCCGGGTGCAGAAGCCGCCCCGCTCTGCTCGATGTCGGGAGACACGGGACGTGACACGATCCCCCGGGCAGCCCTGGTCCCACGGCGCGGTCAGCAGCAGCAGTACCGCAAAGCCACTGACGCCTATCTATCTCTGCTCCGTCCTCTGGGTTACCGGGGAAAGCTGGTCCCGCCGGTGCGAAGGCGCCCACGTCCGCCCGCCGAGCTGGGAGCCCCGCTCTGGGCTGGGCACGTCACGGAGGGAGCCGTCATGGCCGGGAGATCTCTCACATGCCACGTACAACCCCATCCCGCATATAAATACATGTACCATGGGATATGGGGCAACGCCGTCGCTTGCCGATCCCAGCTGTTCCAAGCCGGGCAGCTGGCTCCGCGCTGCCATGGCCCTCACCCAGGCGGCGGGGCGAGCAGGTGAGGGCGGTGGGGAGCAGAGGGGAGCGGGAGGGCTGTGCTGTGCCGGGCCAAGGAAGGATGCGCAGCCTCTCCACAGCGCTCTACGCGGAGCTGGTGAGTGCCGGGACGGCCCTACCGCTGCGGACCGGGCTGCCACCGCCGTGGGAGCGGCTGCCGGCCGGGCAGGGTGCTCGGTTTCTTTAGGTTTTCTTCCCCCATAGGAAACCCGCTTTCCTCCCCGTGACAACGAGCTGGGGAAGCCCCCTGGAAGTGCCACACTTCGGGCATGCTCACCCCCAACGGCAAGGAGTACACCCAAAAAGTGCCGGTAAGGCGGCGGGTGAAGACGGGGCGGCAGCTGGGTACCACGGCCCCCGAGGGGCTGGGGGGCTGAGAGGGGGCTCAGCGGCTCACACCATCCCCTTTGCGTCCCTAAAGAAAGGTGAAAATATTCCCCGTTCCGTCTGAGCCCCAAAATGTCCCACCCCTCAGGCTGCATTGATTCCCCCCCGGCTCGGGCTAGAGGTAGACAGAGTTTATGCCTCTGGTGCTTCAACAGTAGTTTGGGTTGAAGAAGCTGATAAGTTTTGACCCCAAAGAAGTGCACATCCCAGAGGAATTGCGTAAGAATCCTTAGTTTGCTGTGTTTTAAAAGCTGTATATGGTTACATATGCTCAGATCGTATTTATTATAGGGTATTGCAGTAGTACTTCATCCAAATGACTGACAGACAGACATCCCTTTGATTTTGTTGTGGCAGTCTCTGTGGAACAGAAACTGAGAAACCCGTGAATGTGACAGATAAGTTAAATTAATCAGTGTCACTGCAAAGTACAAAAAGCAACCAGGGAAAAGAAATAACAGTCATTATCTCTGAATGGGTACTTGGGTAAGGGGAAAAGAACAGCAAATTGTTTTAGACAAATGTAATGGCAAAGAGCAAAAAAAGATACTGTTATTAGTTTAGAGAAGATCTGTAGAGTTTATACAGAGAAAGAGCGGATTAAAGTCGAGGATACAGCAGTGGGAGAAACTTTTGCATCTAGGAGACAGATTGAGATGAATGTTAACGTTTTGCTCTTTGGTTGTGATGGAGTGAGGTGCTTCCCCCAAGATGTTTAGAAACTTCTCTGGAAGGGCAATGGGAAACGAGGACCTGACTGCTTTAGAAAGCTTTAATTACCCAACCTTATTTCTGAACTTTCATTGCAAGTGAGGTCTTAGCCATTGAGTCTGTTAGAGGATCATAGAATGGCAGGTTGGAAGGGACCTCCAGGATCATCTGGTCCAACCTTTCCTGGCAAAAAACAACCATCCTGACCACCAGGCACCTTCTGGGAAGCGTGTCTGAAGCAAACCTCTAGCCAACACAGCTACAATCACATCAGGTGTGAGGAAACACCAGCACTTCCATCAGCAGAGATCTCTAGGTGAGGCTTCTTGAGCTCTTGGGACCTCTAGGGGTTCCTGAAAGCTTTTTGAGTACCAAGTTTGACAGGAACACCACCATTTTGCTAATGCTGTATTCACTGTTTAAGGTACAACTGAGATTAGGAGTCTAAGAAAGCTGAAAACAAGACAAATACAAAATTGCTTTTATATAAGCAAATAACCAGAGCGGCCCTTAATATTTGAAAACTACTGACTGAATACTGCAAACTAGCAGAGACATTCTTTACTGTTTTAGTTTATAAGACAGAAGAACTAACTCACTTGATCCTGAGACTTTTGGAAGCCTTGAAGGAACCACTTTCCCACTTTAACCAGCATATTGAGCACCATTGAGAGCTACCTGATGACAGCCTTATCAAAGCTAAGCAAATCAGCAATACAGTACATGAGCTGAAAACTGGGGTTGAGAAAGTAAGAAAACGCAAGGTTTGAATTAGCTTTAATTTATATCAGTCATGTGGTGTGAGTGACTTCGGGATGGGGCAATATCTGCTTTCATGTGGGCTCTAGCTTAATGCCAACAGAGGCTCTAATCCAGCAACACTGGACTTCATTACAGATGCAGGAATTTTTCAAAGGATGTCACTTAGTTTATGGATTAGCAGATACATAGATAGCATTATGAATGTCCATAGGTGTAGAGCAGTATTTATTAATACAAAATATATAAAAGAAAGATACAAGTAGAGAGATTAGAGCTATATGCATCTTCATATATGAGCCAGTAATGACTTGACTTTTCTAGGGCAGTAAGGAGATGTAGACAGACTGACAACACACACATAATTATTGGGTTTAGTTTTACAGGTATTTACATTCTAAGTAATTGAAATATCAATACTGTCTGCTGCAAAGACCTCTTTCTTCAGGCAACAATTTCATGCTGGGATAAGTTCTTCAAGACAACAGTGGCATTGTTTAAGTCAGATGCCAATCAAAAACAATTTCAAAACTCAATTCCAAATCCTGGCAGCTCATATATAAATTATTTGATGTAATTTTTGTTATTTCCATTTCTGTCTTCTCATTACTAGCTAGAAGTCCTGATCTTTGCATTTCTTGTGCATTCATATTCAAATTTATTTGTAATTTTGGCTAAACAAATGGGCTTTGTGTGTCCACTCTGAAATGTTTACACTGCCAAGGTATCTGTTTCACTAAAATGTGAATAATAAACTAATATCTTACACAAGTAGATCACCTCTCAGCTTTATGAACACAGATGGGGAATACAAGTTTCAAAATGATAAGTAGTTCATGACTAGAATAGGAGGAATTGCACCTTGTTCTAAAATGCAGCCCTCATGAGGATCACTCAGAGTTACAAATGGGAAGTCCAAGTGCACCCATGGTTCTGGATTAAAATGGCCTTAAACTTAGAGGTGCTTATCCTCACAACTTGACCTTTCTTTGCTTCTTTCTTTAACTGAAGCAAGCCATCAACTATAAGCTGGCTATGCAATTCTGGTATATTTACCTGATTTTATTTTTCTAACACTGTCGTGGTTTAAACCCAGTCAGGTAATTCGTTCACTCACTTCCCCCCCTTTCTTGCCCTCCCCCTGCTCCTGGAGGGACGGAGAGGAGAATCGAAAAGAATGCAACTCCCATGGGTTGAGATAAGAACAGTTTAGTAACTAAGGTATAACACAAATCACTACTGCTACCACCAATAATAATAATGATGAAGGAAATAACAAGGGAAGAGAATACAACACCTCACCACCAGCCGACCGATAACTCGCCCCCCTCAGCCCGACCAAGCACCGACCGATACCTTCTCCAACCCTGCAGTCTCCCAGCCCTTCCGGCTAACTCCCCAGTTGCATCCTGGGCATGCCGTGCTGTGGTATGGAATACCTCTTTGGTCAGTTTGGGACAGGTGTCCTGTCTCTGCTTCCTGCCGGCTTCCCCTCCTCCCTGGCAGAGCATGAGGCTCACAAAGTCCTTGGCCAAACCAAAACATCAGTGTTATCAGCTCTGTTCCCAGGCCGAAAGTCAAAACACAGCACGGCACCAGCTACCAAGAAGGAGAAAAATGACTGCTACTGCTGAACCCAGGACATTATCCACCCCTTATTCCATACCATTCACGTCATGCTCAGATCCCACATTTTCAATATACCATTACTCTTATCTAAGGGCATGGACCAGTAGCTATAAAGCTGCTGAGTCCATCTGGTCCATGATGTCAGGCTCCATCTCTTGTAACAGTCTTCCAGAGCAGGAGAGACTGTGTGCAGTGTTCACACTCGTGAATAACCTGGGCAATAGTGTCCATTGCTAAGTCCACCCCTCGATCATGAGTCCATCTCTGTGTTGCATCTCTGCTCTGATGGCCTGAAGTGCCATGGGCCCACCAGGCTTAAAATAATTCACTGTCCCCTTTAGCAGTTTCTGCAGCTTGTTGCTGGGGACTCCATACAGCTGCCTTCCATCTCCGATGCTTCCAAAGCACTGGAGGGGCCCAGTGGACTAGATACTTGCCCATACTGTCCCACACACCCTGCCACTCATGACTGTCCAGCCTTGGGGAAAACCTCTTGGTCCCCCTATATTGCCATCTAACCCCAGACAAGACCCAAACCTGACTCTGCTTAACTCTTGAGATCAGACCAAAGGGTCGTGGGTAAAACACAGTCTGTGTGTGTGTCAACATGCTGATCCCCATCACAATCAGCAGGCAGGTCCCAAGGATACCCAAAGGCCATTCAAAACCTCCAGAACTCTCAGTTGATGCTGCTGTACTTGTCACTGGGGCTGGTGTAGCTGCTGTGCTTGTCACTGGGGCTGGTGTAGCTGCTGTGCTTGCCACTGGGGCTGGTGTAGCTGCTGTGCTTGTCACTGGGGCTGGTGTAGCTGCTGTACTTGTCACTGGGGCTGGTGTAGCTGCTGTGCTTGTCACTGGGGCTGGTGTAGCCGCTGTGCTTGCCGGCTCTCCCACCGCCAGCTTCTCTTTTCCTGAGTCCAGCTCTTCCTCCTCTGCCTTGCTGGGAAATGCTGCGTGGTCTCCTGCATCCTCCTGGGGCTCGGCGGGCGGCTTCCCGGAAATGCTCTCAGCCGTCGCAGGGCTGGGCTCGGCCGCGGGGCTCGGCCGCGGGGCTTGGCTCGGCCGCGGGGCTCGGCTCCTCCGCCGCCTTCTCCCGCTGCTCGGCAGCCCCTTCCTTCTGCTCCTCGACCGCCCGACCTCCTCCACCGGCAGCCGTCCCCTCGCGGCCTCCGGCCCCGCTCCCGCCGCCGCTTGGTCCCCAGGGCCGCTCTCCCGGGCCGGTTCGGCTGCCGCCGGCTCCCGAGGCCGCTCCCCCTCGGCTCCCCGCAGCCTCACGAAGATGGAGAGTAGGGTGAGGGCCAGGGCGGTGAAGAGCAGCCGGACGGCCAGGTACAAGTCCAAGGCCACGTCCGTCCCGCCCTGCTGCTGGAGCCCACCCGTATTACAAGCCATTGCCATAAAGCACAGTGAGACAAGAACCTTAGCCCAGGCCCCACACTTGATAAACACTATCACAGCAAATACCGGCTCTACGTAAGTTACAACATTCTGAAGCTGTGAGATCAAGAGGAACAACTCTGAGAGCCAATAAATCAGCATTGTGACGAGTGACTATTAATCCGGTCAGATCTGTTGTTATCTCAACCCTTCGTGCCCCACGTTAGGCGCCAAAAAGAACTGTCGTGGTTTAAACCCAGTCAGGTAACTCGTTCACTCACTCCCCCCCACCCCTTTCGTGCCCTCCCCCTGCTCCCAGAGGGACGGGGAGGAGAATCAGGAAGAATGCAACTCCCACGGGTTGAGATAAGAACAGTTTAGTAACTAAGGTATAACACAAATCACTACTGCTACCGCCAATGATAATAATGATAAAGGAAATAACAAGGGAAGAGAATACAACACCTCAGCACCAGCTGACCGATAACTCGCCCCCCCTCAGCCCGACCAAGCACCGACCGATACCTCCTCCAACCCTGCAGTCTCCCAGCCCTTCCGGCTAACTCCCAGTTACCTCCTGGGCATCACATGCTGTGGTATGGAATACCTCTTTGGTCAGTTTGGGTCAGGTGTCCTGTCTCTGCTTCCTGCCGGCTTCCCCTCCTCCCTGGCAGAGCATGAGGCTCACAAAGTCCTTGGCCAAACCAAAACATCCTTGTTATCAGCTCTGTTCCCAGGCCGAAAGTCAAAACACAGCACTGCACCAGCTACCAAGAAGGAGAAAAATGACTGCTACTGCTGAACCCAGGACAAACACCCCTCTGAAGGAATTCCTAAAAAGGAAAGCTTTGAAGGTTCAACCTCTCTGTACCAAGCACATACCAAAAGGTAGAAATATAATTTAAAAAATGAAGCAAAAATGCAATTGAGTCCCAGCATTTTGCAGGTGTGCTTTTTCCGGGGACACTAATTCTGTGCTTGGTTCTGTCATGAAGCTCCTACTCTGAGAGGTGATAACAGGCTGCAGAGTTCACCAGGTTAAATAGCGCTGGCAAGTGCTCACATAAGAAGCTTCCCTTCACAAAACTTATTAAAATATATGGCTAAAAAGATCTCAAGGCTTCTTTGCTACATTACTTCAAGAGGAAATAACAATTATCAAACAGGGGTTCCTATACTTAAACTCAGATGGAGTTATATCCCAGTAGTCTTGCACTATTAGTATATCAGATCATTTCAGGCTAGTTTAAAGGTTGTGTGGATACCGTTAAGATAAAAAGACAATGTTATTCTATTTATATGTATCTTCAATTAGTTTGTGAAAGGTTTGGAGTAAAACAGCCCAACATAGTGATGACTCACTTGGCTTCTGCACTAGTATTTTAAAGATTTATTATATGCGTTGTTGTAAGTTGTACTTCTTTTCCTGTTCTCAATACAGATGCAGTCGATGGGGATCATCAGCAATTCATTAAATGGAATGGCACCTTCTGAAGTCCCTGGTTTATCAATTAGTAATGGAGCAAACATGATGAGTGACTCAGACTTTATTCACTGCTTCAGGAGAGACTCCAATAAAGTACAAAGCTACTTAAAAATTCTTAAATGTAGGATTATGCCAGAAAATAGTTGTTGAGTTGTAATGTCTTGACAAGTAGTCTTCAGCGTGTTGTTTGTAAAGGTGGAAAAACAGAAGTTAGAAACTATCACATTTGCAGTAATTTTAATAGGAAAGTGGTTTTGGAATTCTTTGGCAGCTGTCTGACACAGCTGCCCTATGCTAAGATGAAATATTAAATAAAGCACCATTATGTGTATGTGGGTTAACGCACCATGTAAAAAGGAGTACTCTAGCAGCAGATAAATAGATGTCCTTGCCCATTACACTGTGACATTATTCACACGGTTTAGATACATATGTAATTGAAAGTTAAACTCAGTTTGTTAAATCTCCAAACAAATGTATCTATATACTATCAATGAAGTATATTTTTATGTAAAAAAAAAAAAATAGTTTTCCCCTATTTCTACATACGCACATACCTGCAGAACATTGCTTAACACTGAAGAGTGGTATTACTGTGGATCACTTTATATAACAGCACTGCCCATGGAGGACTTTTATGTTCACATCATACTTACTAATTTATATGGCTCTCCACAAGCGCCCTATAAGATCTAGTTCCCACCATGTCCATTCATTATGAATGCTCTTCTACACTTCATTGGCTTAAGTGTAAACTCCTAAAGAATTAGTTTTCATAGGAAAGGTAAGTCGGAATTCTAGCCCAAGCACCATTCCAGGCCAAGAGCTGAGCACGGCTGCTGTAGCAGTAAGTCTCTTTCCTGTCACACACTGACACAGGGCTTGGGGCTTGCAGTAATGATGACAAACTCCATAGCAAATACAAATCTGAAAGCTGTCAGATATTTTATCGCAGTCGCATTTTCCTAGCAGCAGGGTAGTGATAATGGCTGTTTATAGAACAAAGCATCTTTGTATTCAGATCCTAAATGAGCCATTTGAGCAGGCATTTATAATCAGCATGGACTTATCTTTAATATTCTTGACTATTTCATCCCTGAATGCTCTTTTCTGGCTTCCCCTGATCTTGATGGTTGTTGACAGTAGTTGAAGCTCAGGCTGCCAAGAATGGAGACTGAAATGCTGATGATTATTTAATAATGATCCTGGATTTGGGCTTGAGAAACTCAGCAGGGAAACAAATTGAAGAAACACTTAGGGAGAACAGAGAAACAACCTTTTCAGTTACATCTCCATAACTACTAATATCCTCAGATATCTGCGATCTAGTAGACAGCTGATGGACTTTCTCAGCTAGAAGCTATGAGCGTTCGCAATTATGGTTCCTGTTTGTGCCAGGTATGGTAGAAATGCGAGGGGTTATGTAGTGCCTACCCTGAAGAAGCTACTAGCTGCATTTCCTTAAGGAGTAAGATACTACCAACAAATAACAAAATAGCAGCATCATGTGCAAATTTTAAAGAAATTCCGGAAACAAAGCAAACAAAACACAGCTCTAAAGAGAGTAAATGGGCAAGCAGAACCAGAGAGGGGACTCTGCCTGCATCTATCCGCAATCACAGATGTACCAGTAATTAGTGGTTTAGCGTTTACCCCGTCCCTTAGGGTAGCCACAGCCCCAGGGTACAGCAGCACGCCGGTGGTGTGTCCCCGCTGTGCCTCTTAGGGATTATTGCTGGCTCTGAAATGCTGAAGCCCGGCAAGTGCGCATTCCTTAAGGACAAAAACTGTGCTGGGTGTAACCCCTCCGCACGCCGGCAAAGCCGGCGACGCGCACAGCAGATCCCCCGCAGCCACCCTGCATCCGACCAGAGGTGACAGACACTGGGGGCGTCACTGGCTCACGCAAGGCTGACGGAAGGACGCTCACTCCGGTACCGGCCGTGACCCGCCCCGTCGCGTCCCGCTCCCCGGGGCCCCGGACCGGGACTGACGCGCTGCGCCCCGCGCTGGCACAAGGGGGCGCCGTGTGGTGCCGCTGAGGGTGTCCGTGTCCCCGCGGACAGGGTCGTGGTGGCTCCCGGCGAGAGTTGCCAGGTGGTTCGGAAGTCAGCCTTAATGGCTACGAGGAATTCCCGCCGCTGGGAAGACACCCCAGGGATTGCGGCTGAGGGTGCGGTGCAAAACACGTTGAAACGGAGCAGGTCACAGGCTGTATCACGGACTGGTTGGGGTTGAGAGGGACCACCGCGGGTCATCCAGTCCAATCGCCCTGCTCAGGCTGGGTCACCTACAGCACATTGCTCAGGATGGTGCCACGGGGATGATCAGGGGTCTGAAGCACCTCTCTTTATAAGGAGAGATTGCAGGAGCTGAGCCTATTTAGACTAGAGAAGACCGAGAGGGGATCTCATTAATGCATATAAGTATCTCAAAGGCAAGTGCCAGGAGTATGATGCCAGGCTCTTTTCAGTGGTGCTCAGTGACAGGATGAGCAGTACCCATAAACTAAAATACAAGAAGTTTCACGTTGCCATGAGGAAGAACTTCTTTACATTGAGGGTGGCAGAGCACTGAACAGGCTGCCCAGGGAGGTTGTGGAGTCTCCCTCTCTGGAGACATTCAAAACCTGCCTGGACACACTCCTGTGTAACCTGCTCTAGGTGGCCCTGCTTTGGCAGGAGGGGTTGGTGGCCATCAACTACAAGAGCAATGCCAGCAATGGTTGCATTTTACACAGGAGAACACTTCATCTCCTGCATGGTTTCTCTCCAAGACAGCAGCAAATCTAGTTAGGAATATGGAAATATACATCGAAAATGTACAATCAAATGCTTTGGAGTCTAAGAATGCATCACTTGCACCTTTTCCCATTACATTAATTTACAAACTTTGTAAATTACTGGAAAATCAGAAACCAGGGATTGGCTTCCAGTTAAATGCTGGGCTCACGTGCAACAACCTGTAACAATGTAATAGGTAAACCATAGCGTAATTTCTGTTTGCGAAACAACCATTAAGTTTCCATTAACTTTCCTTATTTTTCTAAGTAAATTTAAGAATTATAAACATCTTCATTTTTCTTCAGACCTTGTTCCATAAAATGCTGCAGGGTAACCCCATGTTTGCATAGTCCGATTAATTTTTTCAGTTACTGGAAGTTGCTTTTGCACTTTAGCGATTTCGTTGTCATAACTTTTCCAGTTTTTCAGAATGAGGAAGATGCATATGACAGAGACACTCTCAGTGACTGAAAATTCATTTTGTTCCCTTCATAATGTGCTAAATGGTTTCCATAGCCTACATCAAATTTAGACTCAATCTGATATGTGCTGATGTTTTCATGATAGATTAAGTAACAGATGTCACTTGTAGATATAACTCTGAACTAAATCTGTGTGATAGCAAATGGAAATGAACAGTATGAACATGAATGTTCAGCTACTCTGAATTACATTCAAATGTTGACATGCAAAGGAAAACTTACTTGGAAAAACTTAGGAATTCCTCAAGGACTCTATGTTTATAAAAGGTGAGACTTCTGTATGTGTGGAGAATCACTGTTGAGATGTTGCCTTGTGACATTCCCATCCACCCTGCCCAGCTTCATTGCTTAGAATTACAACCAGCCTCTATAGGAAACCAAGGAGTGGGAGTTGCCATTTTCTGGCCATTAATTTAGGTGCAAGCCCGCATGAGGAACACCTCAGATCCAGGTTTACATCCCTCAGTTTATCTTATACAGCAGCAGTTGTTAGAAACATAAATTAGAAGCATGGATATTAAAGACTTCTATGCTCAACGGCAATTCCATCTACCATGAACTTTTCTCTGCAGGGGCTTTTTTTGCTCCCCATGGTACAAAGCCAGGTCTCAAGTTAACTGGACCCTAATTTCTCCCCAGTCCTTTTTTAATTCACTGAATTTACAGCTAACCTGCTTGAAATGGGTTTGTCTTTCCTTCTAGTTTGTGGAAATCAGTAATGGTCTTGTTGGTAGAGGGTGCTGAAGCATGTGAAAGCACTTAATTTATGTCAGTCTTCTGACTGTAGAACATATATTCATCAGAGGAGCTGTGTGGCTACAGTGATGGCAACTGGTATTTAAAACCCAGTAAATCACAGCGGATAAAACAAATCTGATGTATTACTGGCATTTGACCCCAGCACTATTGTTCTGACACTGAAGTTAGTAATGCAGTTCCATGCCTTAAAGCAGTCCTGTTCTCTTCAGCAGATCATAACAAATAATATCTGCTTGGCAAAGAATCAAGAGAATTTGTAGGAAACTATTTCATACTTTAGATCTGTACAACCAGAGTGTAAGTGCTGACACAGGTGTGGTCAGCAAATCAAGCTTTTAGCAGCGCTATATGAGATCCACAGAGGAGTTAGTTGGCCTCTCGTGTTCAGTCTCACAGTTGTTTACGCACAGTAAAACGTGACTGTTGCCATGCCTGATGTAGACTGGCATAATCTGCATCATTTGTGATACCTTTTAAAAGACCAAGAGCCAGATCTAGAGCAGGAAATTGGCACCTTCTTGTTAGGTATCAGAGAAGCTCCTTTGAGGGCCTGACATTAAGAACAGGCTTTCAAGCTCCCCATTCAGACCCGTTTGGAGGATCTCCAACAGGTGGGGTGAAGAAAGTCTCTCCTGCTCCAGAGGCTGCTTGGTTGGGCAAGGAGATCCATGAGTCAGCAGCACAGCCGGAGGGCACAGGAGTCTGCAACTCGGGAAACAAAGCAGGCACTGAGTCTCAGTGCTCAGCCCTCTTTCCCTGTTGTATTCTGTATTACATTAGCATTGATAAGTTGCCAGACTAAACAGAGAGGTGCCCAGCGAATAAAGTATCTGCTTTGTTTGTGGCCTCTGAAGAATTGTGGGTTTTTGACTGCAGTTTGCAATTTGAGGTACCTGAACTCCTCCCAGCCCCAGAATCTCAACAAATGTCCTTCATAATACCCTACAGGCTGGAACTATAGTCTCAAAATGCCACACAAAGGAAATACCTCAGCTACCCTAAACAATGCTGCAAGGTTACCCTCTAGGTTGTATCTTCAAAGTTAAAGTGACACACTGCTGATTTTAACTGTGAAGTACCATTCACATCACTCCATAATACCAGATGCATGCTACACTTAACGCCTCTGCAATGAGCCTGTTGCAAAGCACTTGAAACATCTGCTGGGGATTCTGCACAGAATTTATGCTTGCTTTGTTCTTTTATAACTAGTGTGCATATATTATTTGAAGAAAACAAATACTACTTGATCCTTCACACAGAAAAGACTGGCACTGTAAATATATCATATTTTTGTATTCATAGTGGGTGCTGTTTCGCATTTACCAAGTTTTCACAGTATGGACTGAAGGGAAATTTCTCCTTTTAATAGCTTAAAATGAGAGGAGTCAAGGTTGTATGTGTCATGAGCCTAAATCCTTTCTGACCAATTTAATCAAGATTATTTTAGGTATAATTCAAGATTTATGTCTATAAGGGTTTTTAAGAAAGCTTGATCAGTATTTTCAAGTAAAAAATGTTTTATCTGGCATACTGGAACTTTATTCTAGACAGAGAGTAAGAATACTGATAGTAGGTGTTCAGAGGTTTGGAGAGCCAATTTAAAACACATGTAACTGTGAAACTAATTCTGCATGAGCCTTGCTTGATCTTTGCCTCAGTGAGACATCCTCCAGATGTATTCTGCTTAGCACAACAGCTCTGTTTTGACAGCAGATCACTTTTGGGCCTTGCAAAACCATCAACTGGAAGAATTTCCCAAGGAGCACTCTAAATCCTACCTCCCTTCTCCAGAAGGGCTGCTTCTAATACTGATGCTCAATTAACTTGCAGTAAAAGACTATGAGCAGCTGTGAAGACTTCCTTTCCCTGAAAGGTGAGACTGGAAAACCCCAATCACCCCCACCATAAAATGATTTCCTCCAAAATGGGAAGCACTGATAAATACCCCCCCACACGTGTACCTCCACTTGATCGTTTGACGGTAATCCGCAAATGCCTCTATGCCCTTCACTGTAGGCAGACACTAGCAGATGCCATTTCAGAAGAATCCAGGCTACCTGAAGGTAGAATCCTGGCTGCCTGAAGAAGAATCCGGGCTACTGGGCTCCTACCTGAAGGACCAGCACTTGCTGACCAGAGCTTGCTGGTCCTTCAGGTAGGAGCTAGTCAAACAGCTAGGGCAGGACTAGGATTTCAAGAGGACAATCGGGCAATAAATTAAGGTTGCCCAGAGAAGTTGTGGATGCCCCATGCCTGGAAGTGTTCAAGGACAGGTTGGACGGAGCTTTGAGCTACATGGTCTAGCAGGAGGTGTCCCTGCCTGTGGCAGGGAGGTTGGAACTGGATGACCTCCAAGGTCCCTTACAACTCAAACCATTCTGTGCTTCTATGATTCATCCCCATGTGTATGCAATCTGTTTGTCCCTCCCTAAAGGTTTTAGGCAGAATATTCACATTACTGAATAGCATATAACACATGGCACACTAAATGTCTTCAAGGGCCTTCAACAGGTAGGTATCTAGGCAGCTTACACTCATGAGAGTTTGTAATCACAGGAAAGATGACTTCTTAATTTTTCTGTAATTTCTTTTTTCTTTAAAAACAAGCATAGGAAATCACACACAAAGAACGACATATAATGCAAAACTAGGACTGCACAGCTGATGATTTAGGAGGTGGGACATGCACAAGGCAGGATACAAAACTCACCTGATCATGCATAAAGTTTATGATACAAGTGTCATCACTGCAATCTGAAAGCTTTTAGCTGCAAATGTATCTAAACTTCACTTCCTAGATAATACAACTTAACAAGGGGAACAGTAGATCGTCCACCTAAAGGTAAAATATTAGGTAACAATTGTATGGCTTTTTGAAAGATGTACAATACGGTTCAAAAAGCTTTGGAGCTCAAGGCAAGAATAACTAGAAACATTCACAGCATGCATGATGAGGAAAGCCAGACAGGATTATCACAATCATCTCTTTTGACTATAAAATATATGAATCTGACAGAAATATGTATGAATCTGACAGAAATTAAATTGGCCCTATAAAACTATAATGTTCTCCAAAAGGTTTTGCCTCTAAAATAAAATACCTTTTGTCTTTTTTCTCAACAAATGGTTACATAAATGTATGATAAAGGAAAATAGAAAATGTTCTGCTCCTGTTTTGAGCTATAAAGCCTTGCAAATCAACAAAAAATGATACTTAATTCATGGAGTGATTTTCTTAAAGTGGATGAAGCAAGCAAATCATTTTAAGAAAAGCAGGTTTAATATTATTTGAGGCTACTTGTATTACACAGAATACTGTCCTGTCCTTGATACAGGCTTATGCTAATGTGTACTTACTGGCACCAGTTTAAATAGGAAGAAGTCAGGAATAAGGCTACTACAGTATGCTATGTACTTCTCTGTGGTGGCTGTAGTGGCAGCTTTTCCAGTTATAGTTCTGTTGCCTAGTACATTTGGGCTACAATTCTGCATACTGCCATTACAGTTTTGAAATACAGAACTGGTTACAAGAGATCGCACTAACGATCTGACAAAAGCCAGGGAAATTCAGAGTTAAAAATATTGGAAGGTTCACCTATGGGAGAAAAGACAGGACTCACGGAATTGCTCTTCCCAGTATGCTGAATGCCTATCATCAAAGTGACGTGAATCATCAAAGTGATTTAAACATGGAGTTTTTTATAAGGTTATTGGGTTGGTTTTTAGTATTGCATACTTCACCAGGGTTATCAGTTGACCTGTGACCATGGTATTTAAAACTAATTAAATACTCATAAAGGTGAAGACAGACAGAAAAAAGCATACTAAGAATGTTTATGTTTGTCTAATATGAACCTACTGTGTCATTTAATGAATTGCAAAGAGAACCCAAAGCTCTTGAGGAAAATAGGGTTATTCTTATCTCATGAACAAAAGAAATTAATTGGTCTGACTGCAATGAGAGAGAAAAGTGATTCTCTATCACTGTGTTTTTAATGAATATCATACAGTGCAGATGTATAAATCGGAGCACAACTTCAGCTTCATGCTCTTCACTTCATTTTACTTACCATCAGTTCCTATTTCACTTTTAAGGTCAGTACAAAACTGGAAAAGACACACAAAAAGACTGAGTATTGAAGAATATGTCTTAAATCATTAGTTATTTGTCATTTTAATGGTGTTAGACTTTAGCAAATTTATGAGCATTAACTAGTTACAACGTCCAAATATTGTTAGTCTTAGAAGACTGCTCATTTGAAGCCTGTGCTCTCCACTCAATTTACAAACTGCCCCTGTTCCTTAAGCTGATGATGTAACTGCCTTATTTGCAGTGTCTTGGTCAGGGTACAAATACAGTGGGCTCTGCGACAAATTTGCTCTTGGAGGTGGTTGTGTACTCATCAGTCTTTCAGAATTTCCTGGAGAAGTCTCCCTCCACCTTGGACTTGCTTGCTCCTGGGTCACTTCCCACACAGATGGGCATGGGGAAGCAAAACTCATGGTGGATCGTGAGAGGTAGTTCTCCTGCAGACCTTCTTCTTGGAGGCACCTGTTTGAAAGCACTTCTTTTTCTTTGGAGTTACGCCATTTCATCCTTCGATTCTGAAACCAAATTTTCACCTGTTTGCAAGTGAATGAGAGTCTATTATCATTCTTTTCTTTAAACAACTCTGTCCTAATGTTTTTTTTCTTTCAATCCCCTTAGTTTTATGTTTCTTCCTTATTTGTGTTACAGTACATCCAATGAAACTGACTGATTGATATTATCTGAGGACTTTCCTGTCACTATTTACTGGAACACACTGCCCAGAGAAGTTGTGGATGCCCACCCCTGGATGTATTCAAGGCCAGTTTGGATGGGGTTTTGGTCTAATGGAAGGCGTCCCTGCCCATGGCAAGGGGGTTGGAACTAAATGATCTTTAAGGTCCCTTCTAACCCAAACCATTCTCTGATTCTACGAAATATTCTCTCTCACTTTCACCACCTCAAACAGGTGAATATTTGGCTTAGACTGGAAAAAGCCCAGTGTAGGGATAAAGCAGTTTCATGTAGCAACATGCTTCTAGACAGGAAAGGATTCTCAGAGTAACTTAGAATTGTCATTAACTAAACTAAAGTGATGTTACCAGCGATATGAATCTCTCTAAGAACCATGTCCCGTTCATTAGCATAGCTAAAAACATATTGGCAATACAGCTTCAAAGTGTGTGTTATGATAAAGAGAGGATTTAAAAACATTTTGTCTGCCCAACTACAGTTTTCCAGCAGTTGCCTGGAATCCATTTGCTTTAAAGATAAAATCAGTTTTCAAAAACTTTTGAGTTGCAAAGCTTGATCACAAGTGCTCAAAGACGTTTATGAAATGCTGAGAAAAACTTGAGGAAACATATATCTAGGAACTGGCTTTACATGAAGAGAAGTGGTGGAGGGAATCAATCAACTTATTCAGATTGTATTCTATTTTCCCTTAAATATTTGCATTTAGTTCTAGTATTCAGATACTTCACACGAAAACAAAGGAGCTATGCATTCAAAGGCAGTATCATTGCCTTATATGGCAGGCACTGTTAGTCCAGCACAGCTGGTCAGAAAATTAAAGAAATAAACTTCAGAGTGACTGCTCTTCATGAGGGAAAAAAAATAAAGAAAATAAAGACATAGATATCACCTGGTTTGTCATTATCATTAAATTATTTTCCTATAGGGGTAGCTGTTACCTATGTGTCATTCCATTTCCACCTCCCTCCCCCAGGATCTCTTGAATATCAAGAACACAGAAATAAAACTCAAGAGAATAATTGTAATATTAGGAATTTGCCTACATGTTGGGATATTTTTACGCAGTCCAGTAGTGAGTGCAATTGTGCATTTTCATTGAAATAGTTTATCCTGCAGAGATTACCACTCTGCTCATGATATTGAGAAGTACCACACTCTTCTTCTGTTTACAGCGCTTGCGATGGAGTTGGAGTTGTTCAGGTTGCAAGGAACCACTCCAGACCAGAAGATCTAACCTCTTGCACAAAGTGAAGCCAACTGCAAAGTGCAAATTGCTGAGGGCCTTGTCAAGTTCTGAAAATCTCCAAGATAAAGATGATGAGAATTCCCATTGCCATTCCCAGGGTTTTCTGCCCCCAGACGGCTTCTGCCGTACGTATCTTAAGCAGTTTCACTCCTGATGCATGAAAGAAATAGAATTGTACTGTTCACTCTCTCTTTTTCAGCTGTATACTAGAGATCTGCATCTACTGCAGCACCTTCAGAATCGCTCCTCCTTGCTCCAAGGATTTCTGTCCTTGTGTAGCCAAGTTTCTTTCTGTAGGGATAGGTGCCTGTCTCTTGGGGCAGAACGGTTTCAAAGCAAGTGCTGTTGATTGCACTGTCACTAGCTGTTAATCAGCAAGTGCAAAGGGTGCTCAGAGGAACACAGGAGCTCTATGCTCTGCTGTTTTCTGCCTGGATCACTGCCTATCAAGTAGTGGGATGGAGCATAGCTCCCTACCCCAAAACTCCTGAGGGGGCTCTGTCAGACAGCAAAATGTGAGCTGGAAATGAATGGTCATGTTTCTCCCACTGTGTGAAAATGGAGTGACTGACTTCTGAATATACACCTTTGGGAAATAAATCAGAAAGCTGTTCAAACATTCCTTGGTTAAAACTGCCATTGATTTACTGAGGTCCTTGCTCAGTGAAGGAGTTCAGTTTTCTTCCTTCAAAGCCATTTTTAAGACTTTTTTCCCCAAAATGATAGAAAGTTACAGATATTCTGTCATTTCTTACCTGAGACTCCTTTAGACCCAGGTTAATGGCCAGTTTCTTCCTGTCTGTTTTACTAATATACTTCTGCTTCTGAAACATTTTCTCCAAAGCTTTCCTCTGGTCTTCAGAAAAGACAGCTCTTCTTAATATACCTCTTCGGGATTTGGAATTAGACTCCTGGGTCAGAAGAGGCAGCACACTTTCCTCTCCTAGTGGAAATGGATGAGAGTTTCATGTAATATCTAACACATATCAGAGAAATATTAAGTACTGCTTATTATAATGCTAGCACACTACTACCCTGCTTTTGATTTGTTGGTGTTATAAGTGTGTCGTAATGCTTCAGTCATGTTCATTAAGAACTAAATCCTCACTTGGATCTACAGGTGTTGTCAGTGGTCAAGAGTCTCCCCTTGACATATTAAGAAGTAAATCAGATGAGTTCATACAGAAACACTAACACATGGCCCATGCTACTGCAAAATTCAAACACAGCGAGAGAGAAACTCCACTTTCCTTGCCTGTTGTCATCACCGAGTGAGTTTCCCTATGAGTTTATTTTCTCCTTGGGTGAAATGTAGAACCAGATAAAAGTGTCTGTAATACTGACTCAAGGAAACTAAACAGGCTTTCTTTAGTTTTGTTTGCTAACAACAGGCTTTCAGAGTGCACTGTTCCCTGGCCATTCACTTACTTATTCTGGAAACTGCAGCAATTACTTTATTAGAGGATTTGAGGAGCACTTGGGACTTACTCCTTTCAGCTTGGTTTCTAATCCTTTGACATCTCATAGCAAGTCCTGGGTGGGGGTGTGCAGTTTTCAATTAATCCAATCACATCCGCTTGATCCATGCCTAGAAGGAAGCCTAGCCTGGGAAACAGCCTCAAAGTGGGTGGACAGAGCTGCACCAGAGAAGTGTTTGCATTGGCCCTTCACTGGTCTCACAAAGAGCACAGAAAACCCAAATCCAGATAAATCTCTCGCCTTCCTCACACACAATGAAGGCTAAAGCCATTGTGCTTTCCCATGCTCCCTCTCCCTAGAAGGATGTGGTATACAGGGAGCAGTCCAGGGTGAGGCTTGGCATGCCTCCAGCACACCCAGCTTCCCCAGATGCTCATCCAGGGAGCAGTATCAGAGGTCAGTTGAACAGGGCCTGTCACCAAGCACTGGATGTGATGATTGCATAGGGCAGTTCCAAGCAGGCCAGGAAAGAACTGCTCTTTGACTCCAAAACCTGTGCCATGGCTATATAGACCTACGGCCTTTCTGTAGGAGGGCAGCCACAAAGGTGGCTTTAGTTTGTATGACATGCAGTTCAGACTCTAAGCTGTTCTATTGTGCACCTTTCCACTCACATGGGCCAAGACTGCCACCCTGGCTTGTAGTTACAGCAGCTGCAAAGATGTGCTGCTGTTCCAGCTCTATCAAGGACCTGATCCTTTTCATATTGAAGCTAACGGCAAATTCCTGACATAAAGCTGATTCCCTAAAAGACTGTACATTTTTTTTGTGCAAAAGTCTATCCATTCTAGTGAGCTGTAGTGGTGGGGGTGGATTAAATACATGTGTTCAATAGATATAAGGATCTTAAAATACTAATTAAATCCAGATGCCGCTTCCACTAACTGTTCCTTGGGGCTATACCACATTTCAACTTCTGTATAGTATACATACCTACACATGGGTATGTGTATTTTTAAACACACATATATAATGAGGATATTGTAGAACTGTGTATGTATAATGATGAGAAACTGAAGTGTAGATGTGTATGTCTTGCAAAGTTGGCTAAATACTTTTGTGGTGCATGTGTGACTAGTCTGATATTAACATATATTTCCCCTGTATCCAGCTTCCAGCTTTGACCAGGAGAGGAAGAATATCGAAAGCTGAGCAAGTGTGCAATGATCCTTCCCTAAAATACACTGCCACTGACATGGGGACCATTGCATTCTGCTAGACATGCCTTCTTGAATTTTTCTACACTTTAAGAACCCATCTTTACATTCATCCCTCATAATAGCCCGTGGCAGGAAGTAATTATTATGATTTAAAATGTTGCAGTGTAAATAAGTCTAAATTTTATACAGATGTATTTCAATTTTAAAAATTATATCTGAGACCAGCTACAAAAATCATAACCTACTCATTACTGTCCTGATATTTATTACACAGTGAGACACAGTCAGACTTCATCCAAACCAGAATAAACTATCTGTAGACCAGAAGTCAAAATGCCACACTGGAGGTCTCTGCAAAGGGCAAGCCAGTTTCATATTTCTCTGAGGAGTAAACAGCCCTCTCATGACTCCCACCCCAAGCTCCCCTCCTGCCCATGAGACTGCGGGTGAACACTGGTCCTTCTTCCTCAAGCATGTTTTCTGTCCTTCCTATTAGAATTTGGTGAATTTAGGTACCTTTTCCAGGTAGTCTTTGAGTAGTTCCTGATGAATTGTCAGCCATTCTCAAGTTTACTGGAAGGTACAGTCTGACAGCAGAAAAGAGCTGGTACCTTCTCTCTCATGGGATGAGAGACACCAGCAAGGGAAGAAGTGAAACAGGGCTGGTCCTTGCCTCCTGGCCTCCATTCCACAATGGAGTTGTCAGCCAAGGACACAGGATGCCAGATTATGTGACCCCTTAAAATTTGTCTTGCCTGGCTGGTTGTTAACAGTCAATCAGCAAACAACCTCCTGCTGGAGCCCAGAGGCACCAATTAAGTCCTGTACAGGCAGTATGTAGGATACAGCTTAACACCTGGATTAGACTAATTTAGCAGTGAAGAAACTACACACAGTAATGCACAGCATGTGCCCGATTTTAAAAGATTAACTAAACAAAATTTAATGATAAGCAGAATGCTTACAAGCATTAGCAACTAGCCACTGGGCCAAAATATTTAAAACTCATGTTTGTGATAATGAATATTCACCCCAATTAAGCAGCATAGAGAATTTTTTTAAGAATATCCCATATTCCCACATGAATTCCAGCTGCTCACACAAAAACTAAATTTCAATTTGTGGATTAAAGGATTTTTCAGTACAGTGGCATAGGCAGTCGTTCGTACATTTCAACAATTCCATCAAAATGAAGTAAGTCAGTTTGCAGCCTGTTGCTCTGAACGTGCATCAAAAGGTTTTGTGTTCTGCTGACATCAATGTGAATCTGCTACCAACTAATTCCTATGTTGCTCGTTTGATTTTTGTTTTGCTTCAGGGTTTGTTTTTTTTAAGTCTTTCCTTTGTATCCTAATATATAGTGATAAATGTCCTCTTAATCTGCGGAACAATCTTCATTTGCCTTCATGGCAGAGACCACCTTGAAGGAGCAAGTAAAAGCTTTAGTCATGGTTTCCATTTTTTCATTTGAATTCAATACATTCTAGTTAAATGGACAATTAATAGGTCACTTCCAAAATAGTAGTGTATCAGTCCTGGTTAATAAACAATCCCCACAGTTGATAATGGGCCTATGTATTCAGCAAGTCCCTGTATACACTCAGCTCATCCACTAAATCCCTTTTCAGGTAGACAGGGTTATATGGGAAGATGAGCTAGAATGAGTCTATAAAAGTCAGTTTCATTCACTGCTTTATTTTTCAGTCAAGTGCTTTAAATGGTGTCCAGAAAATCTCTTGGAATGTGAGACAGGAGAAAAGACTGGCACATAGAGTATTGCTTTATGGCCATACAAAAGGGCAACTGACCCTTGCCCAGGCCTTTTCAATGTGAAATGGTTCCTAAAGTTCATCTGCACAGTGAAAAATTGTGGTGAGGTCGCGTGTGGATGAGTAAAGTGAAAGTGGTGATTGGTCATGGTGCTGTCAGCCATTGTGGAAGAGCTGGGGCCATGTAAAACGCTCTGTGGGAAAATGTCAGCCCCCTAAAGAGGTGCTCAGAAACTTGCAGCTCATTAAACTGCCAGCATTTGCTGCCTCACTTGTCAAGAATCATTCAACTTAGCAACTGCCCTTCTGAAACATTCATAAAACACATGCACGTAGTCAGGAAGGGTTTGAATGCAACTGATAAAAAAGTGTATGCTAGAGCATGCATAAGCTCCAATTTTCACTTGGATTTGACATGCGATTTGTGCTTTCTCTCTGTGCTGAAGGATGAGGTAACACTTCTGTTTGTATTCCTGGCCCATAAATGGTAAAATCATGCACATCCATTCTTACACTATGGCATACAAACTTCCCAATCAAGGTTTAATTTAGTTTTGGATTAAATGGAAGTGTTTTTCAGGTCTTAATCCTGAATGTATAGTTTATACTGGCCAAAATTCTCTTCACTTTCTTCAATTTTTCTACATTAGAATTAAAAAAGAAAACCAAATTAAGCATGTGCATGCATTTGATTGCTACAAAAAGAACGTCTGTTTTATTTAAATAATACTAGGGCTTCCTGACTCATAATTTATCCCTAACAGACATTAAAATGCAGCATCCACTTTAAGACCATTCAGCTCTTTTCTTATTTGCAAACGTTTATTGACTGAGATTTTTAAAAGAGTTACTGATTTTAAAGAATCTTTTCTGGCAAACTGAAAACAAGCAGCTTTCCTAGGTTAGCTCTGTCTGGGTGTCTCAATGCCATTAGAAGCCTCTGACAATTGCTCAGTGTACTTAAGTTTGATAAATCTTTGGAAACCCTCTGAATAGGATTGCTGTGATTTTACTAAGGAATTAGCTGCTGCCATTGCATCACCAATTAGTTTTCCAGAACACATTAAATCCTGCTGCTTTGGTTTACAGAATAACTCAAGCATTACTGATGAAGCATAAAAACTTACTTGGAAAAGCAGTGGGGGATGCAGGGTGCTGACAGGACCCACCACAGCATGCTGAGTAGAATGGCGGGGCTCGGAGAAAAAAGTGTTTGGAAAGAGCTGCAAAAAAAGCATAGACCTAATTGATTATCCATTGAGCTTAGGTGATATTCCTAACAACAGTACTCCAAGAAGTCAGTGTGTAAAGTCCTGCCCCACAAGTTCTTTTTCATTTTTTCAAGATGGTGATTTTTTTAAGGCAATGATAAAACAAGTAATTGCTCTTTAATTTAGTAAGGTTGTTTTATGTGTGTGACAACTATAATATGCAAAACTCTCAATATATTGATCATAAGAATGAAACTGCAGATTTGAAATTTACTTCTGTATGTGCTATAATTACGGTGGTGTTTTGGTAAATATTGAGATTGAATGCATTGTTTCAATAATATTGTTGAAATAATGAGCATAAGGCATCTGAAAAAGTAATTTTAAATAATTCTAGCAAGCATGATATCTGAATCCTGTCTCTTCTGCTTGTACTTCAGTGTTGTTCTTAGTACTCAAACCAATAAGGTCTTCAATAAATACGAAACCTTAATGAATAAATTCAGTACAATGCAATAAGATGATCTAGCTGAGCTCTACAGGCACAAACTGCAGGGCCTGATTCTGTTATCCTGACGGTAAACTCATTCTTGCTGGGAAAGCGCAAGAATTTGGAATTTATAGAAATCAAAATTTAGAATTTAAACTCAGAATTTAATAAGCCACTTGCTGAAGAAGACTCTCCTTAATAGAACAAAAAATGGCAAAATCAACTTACAGAACTAGGTAATAATTGGTTAAATTTCTATAGAATTTCTTGAACCAATGAATCAAAAGTCTCTGTTACATCTAAAAAGTGCTTCCAAATCCTGGAAAAGTCTTTGTTATGTAATAATCCTTTTTTTTGTTTCTTCCTATAAACCTCATGGGGTTCTCCATTAATCTTAATTACCTTTTAATTTCTGCTTTTATGAGTCAACTCTGAAACTTGGGATATTTTTTTCTTTTGAAAACAGATACACCATGCTTGCTAGAGCTGTGCACTTGTAAAATGTGATCAGCATGCAAATGTTTATGTCACTTTCCTGGTCTGATTTAAGCAGAAAATAAACAGTTCTAGACCATGTACTATGTGGTTTGTCCAAACCTCTAGAAACAACCTGATCCATTAAAAAATAATCTTCATAAAAAAGAAGTAACTGCACATTTAGATAAGAAACCCAAAATATCAATAATCAGGAGAAAGATAAGAAAACAGGTAAGTGTATCTAACCCATATTGTTAATTTTAAAAGTTTTTTCAATTGGAATTAGAAAGAAAAAAGATCACTCAAAATTAGGTTCCCAAGTACATATTAGGGCATAGGATTATCAGGCATAGTTTTCTGCCTGTTAAATCTGCTGATCTTCCAAAGCAATAAACTATTGCTGTAGAAGCCAAACTCTAAACATTTTTAAAATATTTACCTCTATTTTTTTATCTGAATTCATACCAGCTTCTTCAACTGTAATTACAAATTGATAAGTGTTTTACTGCCAGAGCTTTTCTTTGACACTTTGCTATTTGTAATCAAATATAAATATCCTCCAAGAGGAGCTAATTGCCTATATTTGAAGTGCACGCTTGCCAATCATTTACAAAAAGAAATCAGGCATTAGTATTCTAAAGCTTCTCTTCCACATGAGACCATCAAATGTGGGAACCATGTCCTAAGAAAAGTAAATCGGTCAAGAAGGTGCAGCCAAGTATTACCTATCTGACGTATCCCAGCGGCCTCAATGCAACTGGTGGGGTGTGGAAGCTGGAAAGGGTTTGACTAACTGAAGAAGCACAGCAGACGGATAAGGTAAAGACCCACCAGATAATCTCAGCCATGCTTCTGAATATGAGAACTTGCTTGTGACAGTATCTTTTACCTGCTGTTAACATTTTATCTGTTTCGGTTCTTCAGTTCCCAGCTTCTCTCCTTTCCCTAGCAGCCATATTCTTCATGCCACTATCAGGTTTCCCTTACAGTCAGGTAAAGCTTTCTTTTCTAGTTCTAAAAATACAACTTGGTATATAGAAGGTGCCACATTCAATTCCTTTGCTTCTTTTTCACACTTCCCAAATATTCTTTTGCTACCATAATGCCTCATTCCATTTAATCATTTCTCCAGCACCTTATTCATGGCATATGAAATTTGTCAGACATGTTGGCCTCTCCCTGATTTTCCTTCTTATGGTTTCTTAACTTTCTCCAGTTCCTTGCTCTTTTTTGGTAATGTCCTGCTTATCACAATATGTGATACAGCCAGGAGGTATCTGGATAAACCAAAATTGCACAAACTATTGCTTCAGATAAATAGCCTAATTCTGCAAATACATACAGGAATAAGAAAGCATAGGTTTTCTCCATTCACAAAATCTCTCAACAAGCCAGCTGCAAGCATAAGGGTCAGGAAATGGATCAGAGTGAAAATTTGAGACATTTTTCTTAAGGAAATTCTAAACAAGCCAAACTAGCATGGCACCATGATGCAAACAGTAGAGATCTTGGCACTAATTCTGCTCAAGTCAATGGAAATCCTGCTTCTGGCTTTCCTGAGCATTTTACTTAATTCCCTCAACCAACTGCTGTCTCTTCTGCCTGCATATCCCTTTAAGGCAGAACATTTGCTTGAGAAATAAATGTATCATCTGGAAACCTCATATAACTCTGAACTACGTCATTCCTGAGACCATTTCTCGAAATTGATTTAATCTAGGTCCTGTGGAATAAATAATGGCATTACGTCTCCCTAAGCCTATAGCCAACACCTTTGTCTAATTTATAAACTTCTTTAGTGTACTCCAACTATACTGATACACAAGTGAATTCTATGTTAAATTTATCAAAACACATCCCCAGGTCACATCTACTGAAGCTTCTGCACTCAGACCAATAAGTAGTAGTTACACAGTGACATCAGCAAAATAACCTGCCATAATACAGGGATGCTCAAGATAATAAACGGATGCTCCATGGGAGCTCTATGTAGCAAAAAATGTTAATGCTTCAACCTAGCACATACATTTTTAATCTCTGCATATTTTTAATCTTTGACAGAAAAAACAGAGAATATTCCTTCCATTGAATGGCTTCCACTCTCTGTGTGAAACTGCATCAACAGAATGAAAATTGCTCACAGAAAAATGATACCTTTAACGTATGCATTTCAGAATTATACTGTGACGCATCTGTAGGAATTACAATACCTTCAGTGCTGAGGATGATAGAAAGAATTGCATATGCTTTTATTTTCTGTTCGCATATATCATGGCCACTCTACCAATATTTGATGGTCAAGTGATCTTAAGCAAGCTTTGTTTACTGGTCACATAGAATCATAGAATCATTGAAAGCTGCTGAAATATCAGAATATTAGTTCTGTATTTATTGGCCAGAACGACAGATACATGAACCAAAAGGTAGCTGTTGCTTCCAGCCATGTGGAGTACACATTTACCAGGGCCAAATCCTAATAATTTGTATTTAGGATATTTAATTCTTTTTTCTGCTTTGCATTCCAATTTCATAAAAATGAGATTGTGCAGAACTATGCATTTCCCAAGAGTCAGACCCTACAGTTTTAGCTTCACAGATGCATTAAAATGAAATATCAGAGTAGGGTACAAGTGCCTTTTGGCACTCCAAAAATTGTACTACATGCTTCAAAGGAAAATTTATTTGGTCATAAATATAAAAGATGAAATAGCTAAAATTAAATAATTTATTTTAATTTCTTCACTGAAGATAAATCATTCTGACACTGTTGCTGCATGCAACATTTTAGTAATAATGGTCATTTACATTCAGCTTTGTGAATACAAAGCATTTTACAAACAGACAACAAAATGGTACTAAACATGCAGATGGACTTCAAGCTCATCTGGTGCTAAAACAAAGAGATTGCTGATATTTTCAAATACACTGCTAGCTCTGAAGATATTCTAAATTTGAAAGCCCCCCCATACTAAAAAGTCACGCTGACAGCGGGACCAGTTGAAGTTTTCCTTCCAACTATCTACTATCTTGAGAGTAAGGCTCCTGAGTACAATTCAATTCACACAGACATGTAATTTTGAAATGGCTTCTTAGTAAACTCTTGTTTGCTTTCCCTAATCTTAATGTTGTGAAATGACTCAAGAAATAATGTAGGCCATTATCCAGCAGGAAAGATGGAACGGGTGATGGAAAAAGGACTACTGAGGAAAAGTGAACTGATGGCAGACTTCTGGTATTACCCACATGGGGTTCCTTCACTGCACATGCTGTTAGTTTGTTGGGGTTTTTCAAGCTAGCTGACAAAGATGTGGTATAAGCTGTGAAGAGGGCTGAAACGCCTCCAAAAAATGATTCAGAAAGATGTCCTGAGCCAGCTAACAGGAACAGGAATAGACAGACCTCAAGCTGCATGAACACTTTCATTCTCTAAGTATTGCTAAGCCCACGTGAACCTCTTTCCACAGCAATGCCCAGGCTCCAGCCCTGGCAGGCAAGTTAAAAATATTATCAGTAAAATGATCCCATCTTATCTGATAACACTGGATGGTTTATGCCTACTTCATGGGCACAAGTAAACTGCAACTTCCTACCTACATCCATCCTTGGCAATGATTAAAGAAGACTTTTGCAAGCTGCAGGAAAGTTTCATGTCATGAGCAGCTGCCTGCATAGAGTCTAGCAGCAGCTCTGCCACGTTCAGTGGTCCAACTGAGCCACATGGCACCATTTCTGCTCTTGAACCACAAGCCCTGCGCCTCACAATGAAACATGGCTCTGTCCCCAGCAGTTGCTGTGTTTAGAGTGCAATGTTCCAGCAGCAGTTGTGCACTCTGAAAGCATTCCAGCCAGCTGAATTGGAGCCCCAGGCCATGAGGAGGAAGCACCAGCTGCTGCCATATCCCATCAAAGGCTGTCACAATCACATGGACCTGGCAAAACTTAGTGCAAGAGTCTGTGGTACACCACCCCACAAAGCCATCTATTTCCTTCCCACTCATTGCTGTAAAACATGATGTGCTAGTTTTGGCTGGGGTAGAGTTGATTT